ATCAGGCACAGTTCTGGATAGTCTCTATTGTACCCAGAACCGTGCCTATCTAGTTCTATGCCTGAATGGGTTAGGGTTAGGATCAGGCATGGTTCTGGATAGTCTCTACTGTACCCAAAACTGTGCCTATCTAGTTCTATGCCTGAATGGGTTAGGGTTAGGATCTGAGGAACAGTTCTGGATAGTCTCTGTGTATACAATACAGTAGATTTGCCCCAGGCATGGTTCCGGATATGCCTGGGCTATCCAGAACCATAATACAGGGATAAGGCAAGAGGGTAACACATGATTAAAAGGATTAAAGACTGCAGACTTACATGATCTCCATGTCCAGGATAATCTCATTCCTGTGCACATGCTCTGTGTAGACCTGGATCCCGCCTACTCTGGGGGGCTGGAACAACAGCAGAGGTACACTTTAAACAGTCGTACAGTTTGCACTGATGTACTGTTTAAATTGTTTTTTCAACGTCCAAACAGTACCCGTCCAGTTGCAGCCGTTATACGGCTGAATTGATGCAGGGTATCACATAATAATCAATAAACAATCACAAACAATTAATTAAGACATATGATAACACATATTTGTTCCACACATTTTTTGGAACTGTCGCAAGGGTCTGTGCAGCTGCCATTCGGCACCACAAGGTGACCTCAATACGGCTTTCCCCAACCGAAGTTAGGTACCCATTCACACCTGGGTGGAGCGAGGAAAGTTGTGTAAAGTGCCTTTCCCAAAGAATGTCTGAGGAATGTAAGGAATTGAAACCTGCAACCTTTTAATTTATCTGCTCTCTTTAACCACTCAGGCATTTGATGCCACTAACACAATTAAACTGTTAAGCTTTTCCAATTGATAATTAGATCCAATAATTCTAGCCTCCGTAGCAGGCTTATAGAACTGGGGGTTTGGTGGTCTTTGGCTGTTTTCTGATTAGCCCAGTTCTAATAAAAATGGGGGTAATTCAACCAGGCCGGCTATGTTGTCTATATGCAATCAGAAAATAGCACATAAAAGCTCCCAAAGACCACGAAGACCCCCCAGTTTTTGGCATGCTATGGAGGCTACAATATTTCTACATATTGTACTGTGAATTGACATATGTATTCTAGATGTAAACCAGTGTAGCCTCCTAGCCTCCATGGTTAAAACAACAAGGAATAACTCTTGTCACCACAGATACAGACAGTCATTACTCACAACATGCATCTGTACCAGGCTTGTAAGTCTGGAAACATTCCAACTTCTTACTCAAGTTTCACAGGGACACTTTAAAGACCCTATTCCTGACTACTGTAGGTCTGATTGAAACAGGAAAACTATCAAAATACTTCATTTTCATTCTCCATGATCACTGTCTTTTAGTATTGTGCATGCACAACAATTGCAGACATATACACTGGAAAAACATTCTTGCTATACTTACTTAAGTTTCAAAAGGCCATTTTAAAGAGCCTATACCTGACTAAGCCTGTACAGTGTAATACAAAGTATGACAAGTAACTGCAAGAATTCTGTGTCAGACGTTTTAGATAGCATCTGCTACAATGATCTTTCATCAATGATTCAATCATTCAAGTGTAACCTGCATATGAATGAGTATCTGAAATGGAGTGTAAAATTAATTAATGAGTAACTGAGGAAAATCTAGGTCTGATTTTAAGAGTTGGTATAATATAAGACTAATATATAAACATGTTCATTTCCATTGTGAAGAGATGGGTGTTTTAATAACATACAGTACATAGCTGACATTAGGGGCTGTACATGTCTGTCATCATGATATCATGTTCACTCTATATGTGGGACTAAACATAGGGCAAACATAGGGCTATTTTAGGTGGGATATTTTGGGTCATGATAACAACAGTAACACTAAGCATTGCTGTACCAAGGCCGCACAAAGTCATTTCATCGTTTTTCAGACATTTCAAGGTGAAATACAGCAAACAGACTCATAAAAGCAGAGGGGAGGGAGGAAAACTTGAATATGATCATTATCTATGACATAACACCCCCGTATTCAGAAAAGCTTTGTAAATTCAGTTGCTTCAGTGAAGCATATCATAAATAAGAAAAATCCAACAACCAACAAACTTGATTTGTGTGGCCTTGAATTGATCTAAGTTCTGAGTATTTAGCTGAAAAATCAGGCTCGAAAAGTGGCATTAATTTATCTGACATCACCTGTACGATGTGATAGTTTTGGTGAATACTTTTCAGAAACATTAAGAATTCATCCATTCAAAGCCTTTCCACCACCTTAAACTCCCATCTCCATGCATTTTTCATAACTTCTGATCCACATCCATAATTCACTAACTTCCTCAAGAGCTTTGAGGACTGAGAAAGGAGTAAAATTGGGCAGGAAGCCAGAAGCAGTAGTAAATCACATCATCAACACAAAGAACTTAGGCAGTAAGTTACAACTGTTACAGAAGTGCTACATTTTAAGTAGAAGCAGGCAGACTGTAGCAATGTGAATGATGTGCTACATAACACATGATGCTTTTGCCACATGTATCCTGCATCAGTACATGCAGGTTCAGATAAAGAGGAACTACAGTGTATAGCTACTATTTAGATGGAAAACAATCAACACAAATCACTTGCAGTATGTGTTGCAATCAAATAGTGCTACATTGTGAGTAAAAGCAGACAGACTGTAGCAGTGTGAATTATGTGCTACAATGTAACACATCATGGCATTGCCACAGTATAAACAGGTTCAGTGTTTGAGAGAATAACAATCAACTGTTACAATGTACACCACTGACTTCAGTATTACTTTAGTAATAGAAATGCTACATTTAAACTGAGTAGAATCAGACTGTAGCAAATTGTGAATAATATATATCACAATCCTCAGTCAGTGCTACAATGTGACAAATGAGTGTAAATGAAGTGCACTGCCACAGGAGAATTGTTGGGGAGGATGGTTGATACAATGTAACAGATGGAGACATTTAAACACACAATCAGCACAAGTCAGCCATGCAGCAAACTGTGACTGAACCGCTACATTCTAACAGACTGTGGCAATCTGTGACTTGCAGATCAGAGTGCTACATTGTGTAACAATAACAGATTGTGAGTGTGAGTGTAAAATGATTTTTCAGACATGGGTGCTCAAGAGGTTTAACAGACAGAGGGAGAATTTGTTTCAGACATCTGCACCAGGAAATGAACCACCTGTTCAATAGTCTTCAAGATGTCAGACATTGACTCTTCTCCTTTTGAGAAGTGTGGAGCTCTTTAACATGTTTGATGTCTTTTTTTTTCTATCATGTGCTAATGTAAACAATGGATCGTAACACTCCTGGCTAATCATTGGTTTACAGCAACTGCAAGGTTCTAACTACATGTAGAAGTCCTGATGGTGGAAAGAAGATGCCGGTGTTACTCTTGTTTTAAATGACTGGAGGTTGTTGTCAGTGATCAGGCCGACCACGTTGTCTGGGAGACTGTTCCAGATGTGTACTGCATCCCTGACCAAAGCTACAGTGTGTAAGGTACTCAGTTTCACCTGTAGTAAGTTAAGTGATGAAAGTGACTTTCCCAGGCTAGGGACTCAACACTGGAGATGGCCAGGGAGTCAAACTCAGCACCATTATCATCTTGAATAAATAAAGGCATAAACAAACAAACAAACAAGCGGCTCACCATGTCCCCGTGCATGATATAGGTACTTACTGTACCTCTTCCCCTATATAAATCAAGTATGAAATAGATTCAAGCCAGGGATTCAAACCCAGGACATTTAAATTAATGAACAAACAAACAAACAAACGTCTCACCATGTCCCCGAGCATGATGTTGCTGAACTGGAATGACTTCAGCATCTCGTGTGAGTCTTTCACCACCGGTTCCACCGAGGTCCTTAAGATGTCCTCCACATACCTGCCTACATACGGCCACAGCTGGGCTAGGATCTACGGAGTAAACAAATAAACAATAAATAAACAAACAAACAAACAAACAGCATGTCGTGTGAGTCTTTCACCACCGGCTTTACGGAGGTTGTCAGGATTCCCTCAACATACCGGCCGACATATGGCCACAGCTGGGCTAGGATCTATAGAGTAAACAAATAAACAATAATAAACAAACAGACAAACAGCATCTCGTGTGAGTCTTTTACCACCGGCTCAACTGAGGTCCTCAGGATATCCTCCACGTATCTTCCAACATACGGCCACAGCTGGGCTAGGATCTGCACACGAAATAAACAATAATAAACAAACAAACAGACAAACATTGTTGCTCAGGATATCCTCCGAGTATCTGCAAACATGCAGCTGGGCAACTGCAAGGATCTACACAGGAAATAAACAACCATAAACAAATAAACAAACAGTTCCTCGTGGCCCTCTTCAGGGTTAGTGACCGGCATCACTTTGGTCATGTGACCCGCAACCTGGTGGCCATAGGACAAGGTCAAAGGTGAGAGGGTGAGGTGAGAAAATAGCTGAAACAAGATATTTAAAAAGTAAACAATTCATTGATTCTTTTTTTTATGGGAGGGGAGGGAAAATTTCCACAACATCTGGAATAGACGCAGATGCTATGAACCATTAAATTGGATCTGTGCAGCCTAATATATTTATGATATATCATAATTGATAGGCCCAGAGTATGAGGCTTCCCTGGAGTATAACCTGTTATTCAATCAGGCGCTACGTTTGTCTGGAAGTCTGGCTGGGAGGATTACTATTTTTACGGGAGGGGTGGAAATAAGGAGACTACTAAAATCTCTATCTGAGTAAAGAGACTCTTTTTACGACAATCTCTGATTTTCAAGGTACATGACTTGTATACATCCTTGTTCCTGTAGCCAGACCTGTGCCTTGTGCTGTGTACCAGTTTGCTGGACTTGAATCCGGACCTGAACCTAAATATGAGTTTACATTTGTAGGTACACAGCACTTCCCATGCATATCCAGTTCTGTTCTATGTCTGAATGGGTTAGGGTTAGGATCAGGCACGGTTCTGGATAGTCTCTATTGTATCCAGAACTGTGCCTATCTAGTTCTATGCCTGAATGGGTTAGGGTTAGGATCCGGCACAGTTCTGGATTTAGTCTCTGTGTATCCAAATCTGTAGATTTGCCCCAGGCACGGTTCTGGATACACGTGGACTATCCAGAACCATGCCTGGGCATAGTTCTAGAGCTGGAAAAACAAACAGGTTCTGCAATCAAAAGGTTGGATTTTCAAATGTTTATATTGTCAAATTCAATTGTTTAAGTATAGCTACATAATGGCAGGCAATTCACATTGTAGCTGGTTTTATGAGTGCTGCAAAGTCAACAATTATAAAGTTCAAGTGAAAAAGCACACATTCAACCACTCTTAACAAGCACCCTTCCAAACAAGTTTGTTTGGAACAGTCATGGTACAATAAACTGAATAATACTTGATGTAGCCACTAGAAGTTTGAACTTCTCACCTTGTTCAGCCATTCTGCTCTCTCCACATCAGGAAAGTACACCTGAAACACACAACAAACACATCAGAAATTCAACCACACTTATTTTTTTTCAATAACATAGTGAGCATTGAACAGAAAGCATGTAATGTGCTTATAGAGACACTTGTGAAACATAAAAACATAAATACAGGTTGAGTGCTTGCAGTTGATTCAGAACCTGAAATCTTGACAGAAAAAAATTGGACACGGCAATACCGNGAAACAACAACTAAATGGTATGGCCTATAAGAACATATTG